GAGGCTTTCTACTCCCGTAAAGATTTACACCCTCGGAAACCCTGTACAGGGTCACTATGGGTCGGAACCGACTCAACAGCACTTAACAACAACATATATATATATTATATATATATACACACGTGTATATGCTGTGTTTCTATGTGCTTTTTCCCTCTTTTTTATCTATGCCCAAAGTGCTTTTGTTCATTTCTAATTATACCTTTATTATACCATTCTCTTTGGTTGTTAATCTCATCTGTATATCTCTCTTCTGATTATCTCATTTATTTTCATTTTTCCTTTCCCTCAAATATGTAGAAATTGCATCAGAGAAGTGTAATACACCTTCTTTAGTACTGACACAACACGTTGTTGTTGTTAAGTGCTATTGAGACCATTTCGACTCATAGCTACCCAATGTGGTGTTTCTGAGGAGCAGCCAGAGGGCTTGACCCACCTACCTTTTGGTTAGTCATCCAGTGCTTATCCTACAGCTCCACACTGAGGCTAACATGAGGCTTAGTTAAATGTGGATTTTCAGTTTTCAACAGCATCACTTTATATTTAAATTTCTGAATTTTTATTTGTCAAAATCTCTATACAAATCTTATTTGTATAAGACAATTGTCCATTTGATTAGCCCCTCCCCTTTGCTTTTTTCCCCTTTTCTTTGCCATTCCTATAAAATATGCCTTTAACTGTTTCATCTTAGAATGAAACAAAACACACAAAAATAATTGCACTTGATCTCATGTCTCCTTCCAGCCACTGTCCTGTTTCTCTGCTTATCATCGTAATGACACTTACTTAATACAGCTGATCTCCAATTGCTCACACCATTATTCTTCAGCCCACTTGATTTGACTTTGATTCCCCTATCCTGTCAAAACTGCTTGTCCGCTCATCTCAAAGTCACTGATAATGCCCATGCCTGGAAATGAATGGATTCTTCTCCTTTTAATCCTCTCACTAAACCCATCAATATCATTTTGTGTCATAAGTCATTTCATATTTTGTAAAAATTCCCTTTGCTTCTGTGATGTCATACACTCCTATGAGGACAGTTCCTCCTGGTTTTGCATGTTTTAAGCAGTCTAAATGTTGAAACATAAGGAGGTTTTCGTAATAATGGAATTAAAAGCAATGAATTTTTTTCCACAAACTTTTTGAAACCCCCTAGTGTTCACGACTTTAGCCCTGGATCCACTTTTTCTGTACCCATTGCCCCTAGTTGATACCAGTCACACCTTGCCTGTAAATACCTCTTTTTCCAGTGGATCATAACATATTATGGAGAACATTATGAAGAATTCCAGAATTAACAGTAAATGGAACAGAATAAACGGATGTTGTAAGGTATGCTGTTGTTGTTAAGGGCTGTCACATGGCCCTGTGTAAGGTTTCCAGGAAGCTCCTTTTGGGTTTGAATCACCAACCTTGTGGTAAGCAGTCCAGCACTAACCTACAGTGCCACACCAGTACAACGTGAAAGGTCTGTGGAAGAGTTCTGTCCTTTCACCTTGCTCTAATATATATTGTTGTTGTTGTTATGTGCCGTGGACTCGGTTCCGACTCATAGCGACCCTGCACAGGGTTTCCGAGGCTGTAAATCTTTACGGGAGCAGAACGCCTCATCTTTCTCCCACAGAACAGCTGGTAGTTTCGAACTGCTGTCCCTGAGGTTCGCAGCCTGATTCGTAACCACTACACTACCAGAGCTCCTAATCTATATACTGAACAAATAATCTGAGAAGCTGGACTATATGTTGCATCCTTGGTCACCAGCAATGGATCTCATGTCCTGATGAAGGTAAAACACTCACTCCAGCCTTCAGTGAGGGATATACCTGAATGTGAAGAAAATAAAAATCCTCGCAACTGGACTGATAAAAAATCATGATAAATAGAGGAAATGATGAAATTAGTGATTTCATTTTACTTGGATAAAAATAAATGTCCATGGAATTAGCACTCAAAAATTGAATTCTGTACTGCATTGGGCAAATCTGCAATAAAAGACTACCTTAGAAAAGCAAAGATGCCACGTTTATGACTAAGGTGCACATGACACAAGCCATAATCTTTTCAATCACCTTAGATTCATGAGAAAGTTGGAAAATTATAAAGGAAGAGAGAAGCATTGATGTGTTTGAATTGTCATGTTGGTGAAGAATATTACATATACTAATATTGGACTGCCAGAGAATGAACAGATCCGTCTTAGAAGAAATACAATCATAATACTCCTCTGAAGTGAGACTCTGGTAGCGTAGTGGTTATGAATCGGGCTGCGA